TTGGAAAATAGTCAACCAAGGAAGTGAAGCATGATACTGTGTACTGTTAGTCCTCATTTAAATTGGCAAGATTTCAAATCTTCCACTGACTTTTTTTTTTCTTTTTAATCTTAGTATCTAGTTTGGACAAGATTTAAGAGAATAAAATGGAGAATTTCCTCAAGAAAATTGGGGAAATTCTGGGACAAGCAGAACATGATAATTTTTTCTCCTAAGCTGCTGTTGATTGCCCTTGGCACTTCACAGGGGTGGGCCTCCGAGTTATGAATTATGAGTACATTAGATAAGTATCCTCAGGAAAGCCTCTGTGCTGGGGATTATTACAGCTATTATCTAGTCAGCAAAGGTAATGCTTGCCTGTTTTTAGAGTAGGCTGTTTGTTAATAAAGTGCTCAGCATTCACTGCAAACAGTCCTGTCTGTTTTCTAGTTGAGATTTGAGAATCTCTTTTTTTTTTTAAAGCAGACGGGCAGACTTCATTAACTTCAGGTTTAATTTAAAAAGCGAATGTGGATCTTATTGGCTCAGCACCTTAAAGAATTCCATGTTTAATAATTGTGAAGGCTTTCCATCAGGTTTGTCTCTGTTCTGAATTAGTAATGCTGCTGACTTACTGTTTTAGAAGAGGAAGTCCTTGACCTACTGGGTTGAAAGAATTGTGACTGCTCTGAACCTTTGTGGGTCCTTTAGCTCTTCCATATCCCCTGTGAATAATTAGAGGTATTTGAAAGTATTGCTGGAGAAGCCAATTTGTGTCTTTCACTTTGCATATTGTTGAAGCCTCATGAATTAATCATCAGCAGGGCAAAAAATTAACTTCTTCAGACACATATTTTGATGGGTCATGAGGGAGAATGTAAAGTGATCTGTAAAATATTCTACTGATCCTCTAAGTATTAAATTATTATACCTACAGGCTAATTTCATGGAAAAAAAATGTTTCTTTTCCCCTTTCCTAATAGAAGGAAGAAGAAGAGAAAATCATGCTTCGTTATTTTTTAGCAAGATTTACAAATATAGTCACTTAATTTGTTGAATGCTTATACAAACAATTCTGTAGTCTTTGTGTTAAACAAGTCTTGAAGGGTCTTGTGTATTTATTTATTTACATATTTACAGATTCTTGTTCTTCTAACAAGGTTAAACTATGTCTTTAGTATCAGAGTTTTTTGGGAGGGAAAAATGTGGTGCTTTGTAATTGCCTTTGACCAAGAAGCCACCAGTTGCCTTCTAAGAGTCTAACTAGTTGGTTGTTGGGTGGTTCTTTTACTGGCGTGCTAAATATTTTATTTTTCATTTGTTCTAGCAAATGAAACCGAATTAGCATTCTTCTGTGGGGAAGATTACAGAAACTACAAAGCTAATCCTGTTTCGGCCTGGTGAAGATCCCAAGGGATTGTTTTGTTTTCCTGTACCTGTTGTAAATTCTCCTTATTCTGCTTAATGAGATTTTTTTAAAGATCAATAAATCCTAGAGGATTGCTTTACAAACACGGTAATTCCCTTCCTATGGAAATTAATTTCTGTCAGAATGCTAAGACTGAGAGAAGGAAAATGGGGAGACCAAAATGCAATTTTTGTTTTACTTCTCACATTTCTTTTTCCTTCACTTGCCTGTTAAAATGTAGGTGGTATAAATGATCTCTGACCTGTGACATGCATTCGTGGTGTGATCCTACAGCAGACAGTAGCTACATATGGAGATTATACAAGGCAGAATAAAATCCCGTTGCAGCATTATCTTCTTCTAATAAAAATGGAAACTTTCTTACGACCAGATCAGTGGATGAAGCTTGGAGAGCTTGACGAGAAATCTCTGTGTTTCAAGTAATAGCTTTTATTCACTCATTTTCTGTTTAGCTCTTTTGTCTAAGTGGTGCAGACTGACTATTGTTTCCCATTCTGCTCTGGTGAATGCTTCCTTTCTCCTCTCCTGCAGCCCTCTTTAGCATGCTGAAGCAGACAGATGACTGTTGGGAGGTTTTTGTGCTCGAGGACCAGCTCGCCCATTTCTCACATTATTTCAGCGCGATACCTTTGCGTAAGAGGCAGCGACCTGAGTTCTTGCAGGACATCAACAAGCACCAGTAGGAATCAGGTGTTTTTTTCCAGACAGAGTGGAAGGTCACGGTTTCAGTTTTAGGAATAAAACATGAATGATTGATTTTTTTTTTTTTTTTAATGAGAATGGGCTCAGTCTGTGAGCCACATGTCTTCAAGACTGGGATTGATTCTTTCCCACTTTCCTTAAAGCTGAATACTGTGTTGCTAAATGTTAGTTGGTAATTCCAGGCTTTCCTACTATGTTAACCATACCAAGAATAAGAAGTGATACTGGCTCTCCATTTCTAGCAGGTTTTGAGGGCATAGACTCAGCTCAAACCAATGAGATCTGGTGTGCTTTAGACCTACACCTCTGCCCTCAGCCCAGGCTGAGAGCTGACAACAGTATTTCCACAAGAAACTCTCCAGAGAAATAAGCTTACCATTTGCTACAACTTTGTTTTATTTTTTAGTGAATCTCTGATAGTGAAAGCAGATGTGTGATTTCCAGTGTTTCTAAACAAAAGTTCTTATTTTCGATATATGACCAATGAAACCTCTATGTATTGTTTCTGCATCATTTTTTCATCCTTCCTGTCAACTCTCTGGTTTAGGCTGGAATCTTCAGGTACCTGGCATTGCTTTGCTTCAGAAGGAGTTTTATTCTCCTGTGAAGATGGTCCAGCTCTTTGTCATCTGCAATTGAAAGGGTAATTGTATCTTCATCTTTAATGAGGAATCCTGCATCAGTGAAGGCCCTAGCTTTCTCCTGGGTCTTAGATGCTGATACGCATCCTCCGGTGGATTTTGTTGCAAGAATTAACACTTGCATCCTCTTTCTTTCCATGCCCCCTTTCTGTTGCTGGTACCTCCTTCTCAAACGGGCACCTGTCTCAGCTGCCTTCTTACAGTCTGTCATATTTGCCAGGTTAGTCTGGCTAATAAGAGTTTGAAGAGGAGTTTGTGTGTGTCTTCACAGACAGTTTAAGCTAATGCATTGCACTCCAGACAATACCTGCTTTGTTCTGCTGCCTTTCCTATAATGAAAAAAACTTTGCAGGAAATAGATGAAATACTGGAGAAATCAGTGTCCCAGTGGGCCCTACCAAGGCATCTTAGATGTCTGTCGGCACACTCAGGCTTTCAAACTGAGCAAAGATTGTCATTGTTTTCCTTCTGTTCTGGGCATTTTAATCTGATTTTCAATCATTTCAGAAAGCCTTGAGTTGTTCTTGTGATTCTTTTTCTATTCTAGGACATCTGTGCTTTAATGGGGCATCGAGGTTTAACAACTGCCCTTTCTGGACTAGTGTAGTTACAAAAGTTCAGTGTGACACCGAATGTGTTGATTTTATAGCATCGAGAAGAAAGCTACAAATACTTTTTTTTTTTTTTTTAAATAATGAAAATATCCAAAAATAACATGCTATTCCAGGCAGCTCCCTTTTCTGAGGGAAGGGTTAAACTTGTGGACTCCCTTCACTCTGGCAATGTCACTGGCTGTTTCTGCAGCCGCACAGTAGAGCCTTTTGTAAAGCTCTCAGTGATGCTTCTTGGAAACTGGATTCTTTCCCAAGTGTTTTTCTACTGTGCTCTCCTGTTGGACCTTTAATAACATTTCTTTCAAAATAAGCAACCAAACAAGCAACCCCATCCTATAAATAATCAGTGAGAACTTGCTAAAAGAGATGCTGTTCCAACGTTTTTCAGGAGGATATGGAATAGGAATGTGTAGCCCGTGTCAAAGTAGATTTAATTCCAGAATTGTTGAGTACTGAATGAAATCTGTGAACACTGCCTAATGAATTACTAAAGGCTAAACACTGAGTTGTCTTTGTCCATGTCTTTATGAAATCCCCTTTCTATGAAAGGAAATCACTGCCACTGTTGGTAACATGGTTCGTGTTCTTAGTCATTGTGGGGTTAATGAGGATTCATTTTTCAGGCTGATCTCCTTGGGGTCTTTAACCAACATTTTTTTTTTCTTTTTCCAAACAGAAAGGGCAGGTTTTTCTCTAATGCCCTTTATGTCCTCCAGGGTGCATGCTGAAATAAGAACTGGCTTCTCCTGGGTTATAGCAGTGCAGCAGGGAAAGGTGGTTAAATTGGGAGGGGAGAGCTGGGGTGTTTCTTGGAGGAAGAAAATGACTTCAGAGAGACTGGAGTTTGGGTTAGGGAGGGGAAGAATAGCAACTAGAGAAAAGAGGAAATTGGGAAAGGAATTGCTTTGAGAAGGAAGGAGAGGTGAGTCTAACTAAACAAACGCAGAACATCTTCAATATGTGACACTCTAGATACAAAAAGCAGTAGTTCTGTATCTCTAAAAGCACGAAAAGAGCATTTTTTTACATCACTTGTGAATTCTAATCATCTTTGGAGTTGTGAACTGCTTGAATAGGCACCTTGAATCTTCTAGTGCTGACACATTTCAGTTTCTTCATGCAAATGATTCTGTGTGTTTTTATGTGCACAGATAGTTACGCTGCCTCTTGAAGAAGCAAGAGCTAATAAAGTTGCTGATACAGGTAGCTTTGTGAGTTAAATCCTGCCAGTTACGAGTGGCCTAGAGGAGACCTCAGAGATCTGACGTGCACAACCATTAAAGGTGGGAGACTGCATTATCTGGTGGAAACATTCTTAGAAGTGATCTGGGGTGAAGCTGGGAGCTGCGTTGTTTCGCTGTCACAGTTGCAACAGCAGTGACAGGACATCTGCAGGCTCTGTCCTTGCCAGCCAAGAGCTATGGAAATCCTGAATGTTCCCAGATCAGAGTATGTGATACTTGTTTTGGGCCTTCAAAGTCAATGGCAGCTGCCTGGAGGATTTGCAAACGCTTGAAACAAATGCACACTTTTGCTTATTGACCAGTTTCTTGGCCTGAGCTCAGTCCTGCAGGTTGGCACCAGATCCTTCTCGCTTGGTTTCCTTTTTTTGGCACCACTTGGCGCAGATTTGCAAGTGATTAATGAACCTAGCAGAGACGGACTGTGAACAGTTTTGTTTTTATTCATCTGATCGGCACGTCGACTCTTTCCTACTATTCCCTTTATGACTGAGAGGGGTGACTGGTCAAAGGTTTTTGCTGTGATGATACAGGCATGTTCTCTGCCACTTCCCTTTGCTTCTTGCTGTCACCTTTGCTGATTTCCAGTGTTTAGTGGTTGGATTTGTACCTCCTCTGCTAGACAGCAGCAGCAGCATTTCCTGTGACACTGAATGTCTTTTTTAATTCTTTATTCATGAAGAAATATCCCTTGAAATTAAGAAGAAACCTCTTTTACAGCGCAGCTAATTGTGCACAACAGAGGTTTGCAGTTTTACAGAAAAACTTAGGACTGTACAGGGGTCATCTGCAGAAAAAAAAATCATCATGAACTTTGTACCTTGGAAGGAAACGGGAGAGGGAACACGGGGACCGCAGCGAAAACCAAGACCTATTGCATGAACTGTCTTCATCTGCAGCGAAAGCCACCAGATGTCAGCACAGCCTGTTCTTTCACTCTCCCAAACCCGTGCAAGACAAGGCGTTTTTGGTGCTTATGAAAAGTGCTCGTCTGTGATTTGGTTCAACCTGCAAAGTCTGTGCTAGGACTCCAGTGCTGAAGGCTGATGCTCTCCTAGCAGAAAGTGTTTCTTTTTATGCTGAAATCAAAAAGCGGCAAATTGAACTGGTACCGGCGCTTAAATTCTTCTTGTTAGAGGGCATCCTTTGTGGAGCCTACCCCAGCGTAGCTAAATCTTTGCATGTCATGAGGTAGCATTTGCAGAACATTCATTTAAGGAATACTCTGGAAAAGATCAGCATTAATTTGTTGAGGTTTCATAAAGTAGACTTTAAATATGTCTTTTTTTTTAATACGAGAAAAATCAACCAGAACAGACCCACATGCAAAGCAGAGCAATAAATCTTCAGCAACACAACTTAAACACACAACAGATCTTGCATGCTTCTGACCCTGCTATTGCTTCCTTGTAGTGCAGGAGCTGAGGACCGTGTTCGTGGGGCCGTGCGTGGCGAGCCGTGATGGGATGCGAGTTGTGGAGCTTAGAGGTTGCAGCAGAGCGAGGTGTTCGGCTCCGAACGAAGGAGGTGTGTGTAGATTCTGCCTGGATAAGAGAGTATGTGTGACCTGTTGCACAGAGGGAAGATGTGCATGAGCTTAGGGGTAGCTTTTCCTGAGATCTTGTAAAATGGAAGCTATCAGTCTGTTTTCCACACTACTGTGTGGTCACCACTTTGACTCTTTGCAGATACTGGTGTCCACCCAGCTGGAGCTCATCAGTTGGTTTACAGTAAGAGAAGCAGTCCAGAAGCGAAAGCCTCATATCCTAACAATTAGCGTTAGTGCCTTTTCTTGTTGCTCTTTTCCCAGATAAAAGGAACCTGGACTTGTGGAGAGCAGACTTGACTCTTGTACAGTGTATTTATTATCTAGAGTGCTGAACAGCAAGTTAAAAGCAGGCACCTGATTGCAGATGCCTCTTTGAGCCAGTGGACAGGCATAGAAGGGCAGCAGCTGAAAGCTAAACCAGATCAGGCATGAGAAACAGGTAAGAGGAGTAACCAGCAAAGCAGCAGCTATAGCGGGGCCTCCACTGCCAAGGTTTCTAATTTAAAGCAGATTATAGTGTGGGAGAGCTGCCGTAGTGCCACTTTAAGTCTCTGAAGGATCCCTGTAATCCTGTGGTTTGTGTGTGAGGCCAATAAGGAGGATTACAGGAGTTTTCAGGTTTTGAGTATGAAAGTGCTGTGCATGCTCTGCCAGCAGGAACTGCCCCTCATCTTACACTGTATCGTCCTGATGTACACTGCATGCTTGGCTTTAAAATAAGTGTGGTTCTGATGTGCGCTTATAAAGAATCATGGAAAATTTCTGCAAAAGTGATGTTATTTATTAAGTTAGAATAAATAAAGAAAACTTTCCTAGTGTAAAAAACCTGCTCCTTCAAAGCTGAGGCAGAATCTTCAGATCCCACTCGCTCAATGTTGAGCTCAAGGATGTATCAGACTTTGGTTGCTGCTTCTAGCAGTCCAGGCTGCTGTCCCAGCCATCCTAGAGAGACCGGAGGATATGTAATGTATAGAGGTGCATTGTATAGAGAAGAACAGCATTCTAAAGATTTAGCTGTAGTTTGATATATCACTTTGCAAGTAAATCCCTTCAGAGCAGGAAACCAATTGCACTGCTAAAAGCCTTGGATTATGAAATAGGAGGAGAGAGGGAACTCTACCTGCAGAGGTTAAGCTTCAGCACAGGAATTTAAATGAACTCATTAAAATCAGCGTACAAATTAGCTCATTAAAATGCAGTGCTGCTGATCTAGAAGGTGGTTGATCTGGCATGGCACTTCTATGAAGAAGTGATTTAGGAAATGGGGAACACAACGATATTGTTTAAAGTCCCTCCTTTTCGTTCCCCTAAACCTGACCTCTACCTCCTTCTTCCCTGAACTCTGCATCAGCGGCGCTTCGTGCTTGTCCGTTCCTGCGCTATAGCGGCTTGTGCAACGGCACTGACTCCCGGATGAAACGTACATCTGCAGGCACACGGGTAGGCTCTGCCCCCCGTGCACAGCGACTCTGTCACTACCCTGGCCCCTGGCTCACAGCAATGACGGTTTTCACTTATCTTGATCAGGAGACTCTCCACCAGAGGCTTTCTGGGCCTTGCTTGTGAGTGGTTAAACTCTGGATTATCACACTACTCCCCCTTCCTGCCATCACCTACTCAAAAGACGTCTAAAAGTAATGCTGTTGTCTAGGGGGAGGGAAGAAAAAGAGCAGACCCCAGTGAGTTTTGATGTAACTTTATAGCCTTGTTCAGAATAACTTTTGTAGAGCTGCAGAGGCCAGTGACTAGAGTACACGTGGCCTTGCTTGTATGCTTTTCAGTTGGATCTTACATATCCCAGAGGCACGTAGTAAGCAATACACAAATAAAAATATAAAGAATTTACATTCCAGCTGAATGTTCTGCAATAAAATATATATGTGTGTGTATATATATATATATATACCATATATATATATACATATATATATATGGTAACTCCAAATACAAAAACATTTAATGAGGAAATTTTAAGCTAACCTCACTAAACCCCTATCAATATCAAGTAACGCAGTAAGGGGAAAAAATAAAAAGGCACAAATCGTTTAAAAATCCCTCAAACCACATTTCAGTATTCCTGGATCAGAACTGATGTTTCCAACCACGGCAGAAGGTCTTGGAGAGGTGTCACGCGTGGAGGGTGCCCCGTGCGAAGCCCTCGGGCAGCTCCGGCTCCGTCTTCTCGTGCTCCCGGTCCCGCTGCCAGCGCTGGGAGAGGGAATGTGGGCGCAGGTTGCACAGTGCCATGGTGCCCACTTGGGTTGGGCCGGGAGGAGAGGGGAGTCTGGTCTCACCATAAGACCTCACCTTCCCCCTTGGGGATATTCATTCCCTGCCTCCCACTCCTTTTTCCTTTTGGCAAGGAACAGTAGTCTTGCCTGACCTAGGGAAGTGCAAAGATGCTTAGCTGTGGAGGAAAAGGCATTTGAATGCTTCATCATAGCCAGAAAATGTGCAGACATTTTGCACTTTACCTGCTGACTAAATGGAGCAGAGCATGGAAACAACAAGCTTGCTGAACCCAATTTTTCCTCAGGGCGAGTTATGCTGGAGTGGGTGGAATGATACCCATCATGTGAGACTCTCACAGACATGCAGAAGCTTAACCTACTGTTCAGCTGCAAATATTACTGATTAAAATACATCTGCTTGGTGGGTGTTCTTATTGGTTGCTGATCTGGGCCTGGTTGTGGTGGTGAGGTCAGAATAACCAACTTTCTGAAAGGGACGGCAGGAAAAGTCCCCTTTCTGCAACAAAATCGTTAGCTCACTGACTGTGAAACCTTAGGGTTTCCCTCGTGCTGATCTCCTTGTATTCAGCAAGAAGACACGGTGTTTGGAGACTTCAGGGTAAGCTTTCCCCAAGAACTGAAACTCCTCGGTATCATCACTGGCAGTGTGAGCAATGGTGGGAGGATGTTACTCTCTGCTTTGAGGCTAGATAGGGAATTCTTAAAATCCTCTGTCCACAAAGAAATTACCCCAGTCACAGAGGCAACACTGGCTTCTGGAAGGGCTGATCTGCCCCCAGATTGATCCGTTTCTCCCACTTATGTTAGTCTGTCTAATAACAGGAACTTTCTTGCCCATCAAGCAGACCTCATTTGATTCTGACAGCCATCATTGTTTTCAAAGCAAGGCCCAACACTGAGTGGTGTCTTTTACTTAACTGTAGGACAACCAGGCTATTTCAACCCTGTCCTTATGCCTGGCCTTCTCAGCAGTCTTCTCGTGTCAACCTGATTGCTTTTAGGCAGCTTTTGTGAAGAGCAGCTCTCTATTCTCCATTTGCATGGTGTGGATCATCCCGAAACTAAAGAACTGTTCTGATAAAGAACGAGAGCTTGAAGGGGTGGGAAGAGACAGGAATAAAATGAATTTAGGAAGGAATTCTTCATTGCCTTGCAGCTCATCCAAGGTGGTGCAAAGTTGGAAGAACAGCATGTGATACCTGCTGTGCAGTCTAATAAGTGTCTTTATAAGGTGCAAGCCAATGAAGGTCCATGCCCCACATATACATTTGCTGTATTTTCTTTCTGACCAAGGCTCAAGATTCAAAAATCTTGTCACTGCTACTGAAACCAGTGGTTTCCAAGTTGCTGTTTTGTTTGCACAAGTGGAAATGTTCAGGTGAAGATAATGTTTTCAAAAAGCTTAGCAGTATTATTTGATAGAAGGCCTGCCAGAAGGCCTTGGTGTTCTGCATGCAGTTGCATGAAGCAACAAGTCTCTCTGATAATTATCTTGACTGTATTTCCATCAAATACTGCCTGAAGCTTTGGTTTAATAAAACAGAACATATGGGAGCAGCAGGTGTCATCCCAGGCAGGCACCACAGTGCAGAGGAGAGGCATTAGTGTTGGGGACATCCCTCTTCAAATGCTGCTGTGCTGCTGGAAAAGGTGATTTGTTTCCAGAGCTTATAAATGTGCAGCAGACAGCTACCCGGAGCACCGGTGCACTTGGAAAAACAGGCACTACTTGGACTTGCCGGATGCTTTTGCCAGAATCCCAGCGGATATTCCATAACACGGATCTTGTTCTCATTTGGCTGTGGAGTTCACCGAGGAGACCAAAACCAGACACAGTTCATGTTCCTAAACCTCACTGCCTTGGCTGATCCAGATGCAGGAGGCTGGATTTCTTCCCTGACAAAGGGGCCTGAAAATCTGTGTTCTTTCGTATCATTAGGGAAAAACAAAGGCAAAAGCCAACCAAACAACCAACAAGCATTGAAATTTGTGAGAGTGGCTAGGGGAGCAACAGAGGAGCAGTGCAGAGATGCCAGCCACCCTCTCAGGGGACTGATCTGACAGTATCCCTTTGGTTTTCCACATGTAACAGTGCTGCTAGCTCAGCTTCAGTGGTGCTAGTTAAGGCAGTAATTGTGCAAGCAAACCAGCAGTATAGTTTAAACACTGTCTAACCTGGTTTCATGATAATCCATTCTCTAAAGTCACCAAATTTTATTATTTACCCATCATACAATTATACCAAAACATATATATGTTTAAGGAGAAAAAAAAAAAAAAGAAAAAAGAAAACACCTTTATAGAAATGTCGATAGTGCTTTGAAATCCTCTGCCACAACAGGGGCTTTGCTACACGTTGCTAGAGGTCTCCCCGCTCGAGTACTCCCCTGTTGCGCTGGGCAGGACGAACTTCACGTATCTGCCCTTTTCCCAGCCCCTCCTGATCCGCAGGAGTCTTTGGTGGACGCAGGGCAAACTGAAGACCACTTTTGCTAGGATCACAGTACATGGCACGAGCAGCGTGAGGGTGTAGGTGGGAGGCAGGTAGAATTTGTACTGGTTCTCGTCGAAGGCCCTCGACCATCCGTACGTCAGCGTGTGCAGGGTGCTGATCACCAAGGCGATAAACCCCAGGGTGGACTGAAACCAAAAGAGAAACCTTCCCGTTAGCACATTTTTCCCCTGTAAGTCCATGTTGCACAGAGAAAGCTGTAAATATTTGTTTCCTTGATAGTATAAAATGTGACTTGCAGTGTTTCATGTACCAGACTGCATTTTTCTTCCTCTAATCTAAGTGCGATGGGCAAAACTCAGCCGGGGTTTCCAAGAAGATGCTGCCAGCTCCGCAGCGAGGTGGCCCCTGCCCCTCTGTGAAGCCGTCCCGGCGCCTCCTGAGCCCCTAACTCCAGGGATGCTCCTGGATGCTCCTCTGGAGGTGGCAGCTCTATCCTGGCTGCTGTGACCTGTGGGTAGGACATGTCCCCTCCTGGCTGCAGCGTTGGAGCGGAGGGCCAGCACGCGGCACCTTCAGAAGTCCGGACTAGATGCAGCCTAGCACAGAGCACTACCAGAACCGCAACATCTGGCTTGCTGCATCCAGTTAGGGAGCAGCAAGAAACACTCTTCCTGAAAGTACGCCCGGGAAAGGATGACCAGCTGGGAAGAAAGGGAGCGGAGGAAAAGGGGAGGAAGGACCGAGCATTTTCTCTTGAAAAAGAGTCTCAGTGGGAAAGCTACTCAATTGAAGCTGTTCCTTCCGCTCTTTGTTTGCTAGGAAATCCCTTAAAAAACAGGCAACTTTTTGAAACGCGACATGTGCTGACAGCAGACTGGATGAAGACTTCCCAGCCCTTCCGAGCTGGTTATGCAGAGCAGTGGGAGGGAGGAGATGTCTAGGACGGGCTACCAGATGGAGGCACTTGGCTATCACACACGGCCACGTGCCTGTCTCGGAGCTCTTGCAACCCTGCTGCAAGCCAGGGAACTCCCCTGTCCCTGGTAACTCGGGCTATACTGGGAGTCACTTGCTGACCTGTGAATTGAGCCTCGGTGCTGGCTGCTCCTTTCTCCCAGCCACATCCTCCTCATCGCTGCAATCCCCATCGGAGCCCCAGCCCAGAGCAATTGCAAGCAGCAAACCCAAACAGGGTCGAGATCTGCATCACTTGGGAAAATTAAAGCTTGCTGGCGTACGCAGTGAGCGCAGCCTGGAGATGCAACATGCCTACCCAGAGGAAACGACTCCCAGCTCTGCCATCATTTATCGACCGTGAGCTTGTCTGCAACGGGCAAAAAAATGAGGAAAAAAGCCCCGGGTGGAAAGAGGCAGGAAGTGCCAGCTTGTGACTAAAGCTTTGGCGACCAGGCTGCGCAGGGCCGGCCAAACGGGGCTCTGCACCGCGCGGAGCTCCGTGCCAGAGCTCGTGAGCTGCACCGCTACGGCAGGACAGCGGGCACACGAAGCCAGACAAGTAATGGGCAAAAAGCCCTGAGGCAGCTCGAAACAGCACAGGCAGCTCCTCTAGCTGCAGCCATGGGCAAATCCAGTGCTAGCGCAGACAGCCCATGCTGTTTTGCTACCCTGGCAGGGGTTTTGGCACCGTTGCAGCATGGGGCATGTGAGGACCATGTCCATGCTGAAGGCTGCCCACGTGCGGGTGGTATTTCCCCCATGCAGGCTTTCCACCATTTCCATGTGGCTGCTCCATTTCTTTCTCTTTTCGGTACCTGGGAGACTCTGGCAGACACACTGGAGAAGGTGCCTCTGCGCCGTGCGGCTCGTTCCGGAAGCTCTGTGCAGCGCCCGGAGCAACATGCCGCTTCCTGACCCTGATATATCCCTGACTTCTGCTCCCGTTAGTCCTGCAAACTCATGAGCTCCGTGGCAGCCGGAGCTGCCTTCCGCGCTGGCTCTCACCTCCTCGGCAGGAGGGCGAGAAAGGGCTGACGACAGATGCTTTACTCCCTGCTACACATGAGTTAAGCCAGAAACCAGGCCAAGGCAACCTTCAAATCCAGGAGGACTTGCCAGGGCAGGATGGGAAAGGCAATCATACAAATTTTTACTTCTCAACGAATTAGATTTGATTTGTAAATCATTAGGGAACCTTAAAAATGTCTCCTGTGATCTCCCTTACACATAGATCACTCCTATTACCCACTCTCTGGACCCTCCATATTTTCTGTTAAGCTGAACTGGATATATAAGGGAACTGTATATCCAATTTGACAATGTACGTATGTGCAGGAGTTACTATAAAAATATTTTTGTTATAAAAATTTTTGTGATTAGAAAAATCCAAATGTGATTTTTGACCTGTCCAACACAGATGGACACTGTAAGAGAGCAGCTGATTCCCAGGATACCAGTATACGGGCACATGCTGGAAAACAGCAGCCCCAGAGCGCTCCAGATTAGAAGACTAAAAGGTTTCCTGGCTTGGGACCAACCTTGAAGCGGCTGTTTCTGCAGCTTCTCTCAAGCACACGAGCACATTCTACTGAGATGGCCACACGGACGGGTGTTTTTTGAGCAAAGTTTGGCTCTAAACGTTGCTCTTCAGTTTTCACGTGCATTGGGAGCCACCGTGGCTCTGATGCACAGCTGTTCGACCTCCCAAGTGCTTTTTCTCTTTGCTGCACCTCTTGCATTTGCGGATATTATGCAGGAATGTTGTGTCGCTGGGTGCTAATTCAGCAGGGGAATCACATTGCTCCACATGGATGTTCACCCTTAAGTCTGGGAGCAGTAGCTGTGTCTGCCATTAACTTCCTCATACAATGCATCACCAACTTATTCCAGAGCAAATTGCTTCAAAGATTCCCCATTTAAAAAAAGGAATCTGGATGCTGACGTGCTACAAAACCCAACACCTGCTTTTATTCCGCGGTGTTCCCCAGGAAAGCGCGTTCCCAGCGCGCACGCGCTCAGCCGGGAGCCGGTGTCCCACGGCCGCGCTCCAAACTGCACTTCCAGAAATGGGTCGAGCGAGTCGGCCGTTCCACACGGGCAGCCGCTACGCAGGGCAGCCAAGAGCTATTTTGGAGCCGAGCGTCACGCGTCGGAGCGGCACCGACGCGACGGGCCCTTCGCGTGACTTGGGAACACTTCCCAGCGGGCAGACGCAACAGGCTGGTTACATGTGCTCATAGGGGCAGCAGCACTTGCTGCCATGGCAGTGTGATTACGTGTACATATATATACGTGTATATATTTATGTATGGCCTGTGACAGGCTATCCAGTGGGAATGGTGGGGAGAGAGCAGCCGCATGGGGTGGTTTCAAGCACCTGGGGGGCATCTGGGCCTCCGGGAGAGCGCGCGAGCCGAGCGGGAGCACAGGGGGTGCCTCCCTCCAGGCAGCAAGGAAGCATTTCTCTTCATTTGGGATTCTCGGTATTAGATGCCTAATCCAGGAGGGCAATTTATGCGGCGTGCTGGCAGCTGCAGCCCTCCCCTGGGACGCACTGGCAGGAATTAACATGCTCTCCCCATCCACGCTCACGCAGATTTAAAGCCCGGGCTGCCGTCTCCCCGAGGGCTGCTGATCTCCTGGGTCAAGCCTTCCCGGCGAGGCAGCTCTCCTCCGGGTAAATAATTACTCAGCAGCCCACGGCGGGAGCGGGGGGATGCAGAGGAGCTGCCTCGCCAGCTCGGTGGGCAGTCCTTGAGTTTCCTGCAGGCTGAGGAGGAATTTCAGCCGCTGCACGAAGGGAGGCCCAGGCTGCAGCGCCTGCCGCGGATCAGCACGCGGCTGCACGTGACTCAGCCAGGGCATTTTCCCCTTTCCCGGGGGTGGAGCGGCCTCCGGGTGTCCTTGGCGTCAGCCGCTGCCCGTGGAACGGCTCCCGTTTCGTCAACTTTACCTGAACAAAACTGAATTCCCTCCAGTTGAGAGAGTTTGCGATGGACGGTAGCGAAGTGATGGCAAGTAACGACAGCAAGCCCAGGGCGATTATTCCCACGGAGATATAGATCTCCATCCTCCAGACTTCCTCCTCTACCCAGATATTCATCTTCTTCTCCACAGCCTGGCATGACAACAAAGTTGTGTTGAAACGGGGCGCTTAGGAGCAGGGGAACTGAGTTTTACCTGCACTTACTCATGTGGCTTTGGCAAGTGGCTCTGCTGGGCGAGCACCAGGTGCTGCCGGTGGCCCCGGCGCTACCTGCGAGGTGTGAGGATGCTCCGTATCCACTTGCCCACGTTAGAGCAGCTCTGCAGCCTGCGGGGGAGAACTGCTGAGCGCACCCAGCCCGTAGCCAGAGCAGCAAGCCCCCGAGTCTCATTTGAAATGATAATTGGAGCAAGAAGTCAGCTTAAAGCCATGAAAACAAATACAGACGCTTGAATATGCAGTAGTCTCCTAATAACCTTTGTTTTAAGTGCATTTGGTGGGGAAATTGTTCATGCTAATGGAAGCAAAGATGGGTTTTATGCTGCACAGTAAAGAGCGACATTAGAACCATCTTCTTTATCCCATTAAATGGGTTTAATTTACTAAACAAAGTAGAAAACAGGAGGTAGAGGGGAAATGAGCACAGGACGCTCGCCTGAGATTGATGTGGAGCTGTGACTGGAGGTGAGAGGCCGGGGCTGCTCCGATGGACGGGACAAACGGGCACTGCTGCTGCGAGAAGCCGTCCTGCCCGCGGCGGCCCCTGCCCTCCTCCGCATGGCACTAGTGTCCGTGTGGCCACACAGGGAAGGAAGCTCTTGAGAAATATCCTAGGCTGACTTCCTTGATCCGGGTCGGCACTCGGCACCACGGAGCTTGTGCCAGCCCGGGAGGGAGCGGGTAGAACAGGAATGAGCCGGGGCAGGAGGAGGGCGGCCGGTGCTTGGCCGCGGGGCTGTTTATCTGCAGGCAGAAATCTCACAGTGCGAAAACACTGCCAAGAGTCGCAATAAAGCCATGAAGTGCTTTGCCACTTCCTTGTTCAATAAAGGTGCCTTGTTCTCTTAGCCTGCAATGAGGTCGTCACCATTATTTTGTTAACGTCCTGGAGGCACACGAGGACAGGGACACACCTGCAGGACAAACCCTAAGGGTTATGACTTGGTCACTGCAGCAGGAGGTTATCATGAACATCTGTGTGAGCAAAGACTGACGTCCCAAAACCTAGGAAGAAAAGTTGAGGGGGACCCTGCTCCCACCAGCACTGAGTTTTGACCCTCCTGGCATTTTTCCTGCCTCTGTACTGGTCTCCAACATGTCAGGCAAAGTGGGCTTCGAAGACCAGCATATGCTCCTGTGGAGCAATGGCACTGGGGGAATCAACCCTAGATCTGAGCACAAAAATTGCAAGGTCTGCCCAGACTGCTGGTCCTCGCGGCCCCTGGGGACATGCCTGGTGCACAGGGTGCCACCGCAGCACAGAAGCGCATGGGTAGGCAACAGCCTATTCCCACCGGCCCACACACGTGTTAGGAAGCGAGCGCAGAGGCCCTGGCACGGAGGCCACTCAGCACCTGGATGCAGGGACAAGACTAGTGCAGGTGCTGACGTGCAAAGTAGCAGCGTTACCTGCTTGACGGCCGTCTCAATCAGCAGGTAGCGGTGCGAGCGGCGCATGGGCAGGCACAGGCTGTACACGGCGTGCAGAGCCGCGCAGAAGAAGCTCAGGAGGCCGATCTGCTTTCTGTGCTGGAGCCACTGGTCAAGCCAGTCTGGAAAGCGCCTGTACTTGGTGCCGTAGTAGAGCTGCGAGGAGGCTGCCAGGACCCCGGGCAGGTAGACGAGAGACAGCATGACATAGGCCACGCAAGGCAGCGTGGTGTTGACCACCTCGATGGGGATCTTGTAGAACTTGTTCTTCTGCTCCCTGATGTACGGGTGGATGACTTGCCTCACCAGGTTGTAAGTAAAGAAACAAAGGAAGAGCCCCAAAGCCAAAAAAATGGGGATTTTCCAAGCTGGCAAGAGGCGAAGAGGAATGTTCTCAATCTCACAGGCTGATGACATGCAGCCCATGTCCACAGGGGTGAATCCCATGACTTGAGCAATTTCTGCGACAATGCGCTTGGCTTCTTGGTTATTGGAGCAAATCAGAACCTGCAATGAACAGAAAGATGCATCTAGGGCAAAGAGAGACGGGGCTGCCCTGGACGAGCGCTGGAGGAGGGATGCTGTGCTAGAAGCAGCCTAGACTATTCCCCTGAGCTGCACAGTGACTGTGGCTGCCAAAGACCCCTACCCTGCTCAGGTTTTCTTTCAGGTGTGCCCCACCACTCTGCTTTATTGTCTATGCTTAGAGAAATATGTAATTAAATAAAACTTTTCATTTACACAGAGGCTCTAGAGACTGCAAAGCCTAAACTACATGGGGGTACTTCATTTCTGAGCAAAGAAGTGCAGCAGCCATGCAATGGTTTCTGGATGCCACAGCCAGCACCCAGGCCACATCTCCCTGAGCCTAAAACTATTTACTTGGGATGTTGGCTGAAGCAGAGCTGAGCTGGTTGGTACTTTTGCAGAGGGACAGCGAGGAGGTTTGTTCCTTACCAGAATATAACAATACCTGCTTATTTCCATCCCTGGCACCTGACTGCAACGTCCACGCAGAAATGACGTTAAACCCCTTGACCACGGTGCAGGCAGGGAAGAGGGAAGCCAAGTACTCAGCGTTGGACTCTTTGTGGTGGTTGACCTCTGTGTTGTTGCTAACATCCACCAGTATCTTCCCAGCCAGCACATCAGCCAGGTCGCAGAGCGTGGAGTAATGTTCCCTGAAAACCGCCACAAAAATGACGTCCGTCTTCTTCACCGCCTCGGCCTGGAAGGTGACTTCTGCTGCCGAAGGGAAGAGGCCGGCTTTGCGCTTCGGATTGCGGCTCCCAATCACTACCTTGAAGCCGGAGCAGACGAGGCGGATGGCCAAGGACCGCGCGAAATCCCCGCTGCCCAGCACCCCGACGGTGCGGCCCGCGGCCGGAGCGATGCTGTGGTCCCCCTCCACGCTGCGATGGCCCAGGAGGGGTTTGGCCATGTCTCCTCCTGACATCCTGGCAGGAAAAACAGTGGGAAATGCAAGTTAATTCCAAAGCGTTTGGAGAGAGCCTGACTGCAGCCACAGTCATGGGGAAAATGCTACATATGCCACCCAAATAGAAATGCACTTGACCTTGGGTGACGATGGAGTCCCCTGGAGCCTGCAAACACATGTACAATCCCAGGCCCTAACAGCCCAAGACCCATCTGGTAAATCCATGAGGTGGATGTGCAGTAAGGTGCACCCACCGTTGGAGGGGGACACCACCATGCCAAGTTGGAGGTGAAGGGATTCAGGAATGGGTTTTGTCAGCTGTTGACTTCAAAAGCCTACAGCTGCACTCATCTGTCCTCTGTTCTTCATACTCACATCTCTCATATTCACAGGAGCAGCGTCAAGGCAGGGAGTTGAAGGTGAAATGAAAATGTTCTAAAAGCGGTAAATGAAGCAAGCTGCAGCCTTTGCCTGCTCCAATACGTACGTAGGTCTGGCAAACAGTGTTTACTTCATCTCTTCAACGGGTAATGAGAATTTACTCGTGACATTTAAAAATATATTAAAATATGATGGGATTTGCTCATGGAAGATCTTGATGAGCTTTGCAAACATTAATGAATTTTGCCCTGTAGCACTCGCTCTCCACAACAGATCAAATATTGAGGCCAAGAAGAGGTTTTAAGTAAATCAATAAATTGAACGGTTGCACATCAGCAGACCCCTGAGGTCAAAAGGAACTCAATCATGGAGCTGTCAAGCTAGCCACGTGGTCTGTCACCTATCACTCAAATCAGCCTTGCTGCTTAAGGAATGGAAGGTGTCAAATGTGACACCAGAGTTTTGAAGGACTCAGGAGGTAGTCAAGGGAACTTACCCAGCAGAACATCTGGCTTTTGATTCAGGCACTTTGGTGGACGTGGCAGTGAAGACCAGAATTACCAGGACACACCACAGTAAGAGACAACTTGGTGAACAAGGTGAGCACTGCAGAGCACAATCCTGCCTTATGGCTAGTTGAGTTCTTTCAAAGAGAACATGACCACTCGGGCGAGGTGACCCAGTCACTGAGGCAGGCTTGGCTTTTCATAGCCTTTTGGGAACGTTCCCCATCCAAGGCTTTAATGGAATGGGAACAATACTGGTGCAGAGGGGAAGGGCACCTGTGCATGAATAGTTACCAATGGGAAACAAACGGTAAGAAAAAAACAGGTAACATTCATAATGGGAACAAGATATCAAGGGATTTCCCCAAAGGTCTCTGTGGTTCAACACCAGCATCCCACAACCTGGGAAAGGGAGTGAATGCTCAGAGGCCTGAGTTTGGGGTTGATGAATCTCCATGGCAATCTTTACTGTGAAGAATTTGCAGAAGAGTGTCCTCATTTGAAGTGTCTGAGCCCCAAAATTCACTGTTGACATGCAAAGTGATGCATATGGGGAGAAAAAAATCCTCTGACCATAGGTACGCTTTAATGGACTGTAATTTTATTTAAATATTTAAATAAGTCAGGAAAGGGATCTGAAAGTCACAGTTCTCAAAAACACCAGCTCAGTGCTCAGCTACAGAAAGGAGGAAGGTTATGAATTATCAGAGCATTTCTTCAGCATTTCTTACAACAAACAAACAAACAAAAACAGCCACCAGCAACTCTGATCTCGCAGTGCTGATCCTCATGGAAAGTCTACAAAACACCTTCAGAAGACAGACCTGGGAACTATAATTCACCGTTCTCCTGAATACTAAAAGTTATGGGTTCAGCAACAATATTGTTTTTATGGCACTGTTCTACCTTTCCTCCTTGCCTCACTCCCAGCACCTCCCTGTCCCCCACACCAGCAATGTGTGTGCATGGGGGAAGTACTCTCAGAAAAGAAAACAACTGTTCAAGAAAGGGAGGCTGACTTTTCTCCTTTAGCAACACTTTCCTCTGCTCTCTGGGGAGCATGTAGCCTTTCTCTCTCAGTCCACATGAGTAACAAAGTTGTGGTAAACTCAGAATAATTCGTGTTTCACTCTGAAGATTTCTGCTTCTTCTCCAGACCTGCAGTGGGGTTTGTGTGCCTAAAAGCGTTCTTGCTGATGGAGACTATGTCTCTTGGCCCAATAAAGGCTATTCCCTATGCACACCTCCCTGCCTTGGCATGTTTTGTGTATAGCAGTCACCACTACACTTTGTGTAGGAATGACTGGGAAAGGCATGCAGGACAGTGAAAAAAATCTTCTTATGCCATGGAATAAATGCATACATTGAACACCGTCCTGCAGCTCTGCTCAGCCACTGCAGAAAGGGAGAATAAAACTAGAAAGGGAA